CTTGATGCAACAACTTTATGTAATTTTTTTCAATGACATGCATTTTGAGTATCTATGGCACTTATCTTCAGTTACACATATCTCTTCTTTGTAATAAATATTCTTAGAAGGGCTATGTGAATATAATTACCTATGTTTTCCTTCTTGTTAGAACTAATAAGTTTTAGTTCTGACAAAATTTGAAAAAATATTTTTCTCTAACAGTGGAAAGATGTATGTATTACAAAGTTGATTGTTAACAAACATCTTTGTAATCATTGCTTAAAAAATGCTAAGATTGCAAAATCTTAGCAATTTCAAATGATGATTTTGTTACAGTAATGAAAATCAGAATCTTTTGTCATTTTGGAGTTTAAAGCTTTTTACTTTAACTTCTGGCTAAGCAGATATCTTTGGTAGTTTTTCTTACTATAGATTCAAAATCATAATTTCTTTATTAAATGATTTACAATTGATGATCAAATATGCAAATAAAATTTGCTAACATATAAGAAAGATTTTATACTGTATATTAACTAGCCACAGGCAACTTAGCAGATTCTAAATTCAGTATATAGTAGTCTAGTACAGCGGCAACCCAAATGCATTGGTGTGCCACAAAACATGTAATTGAAAATATTGGATATTATTTGTGGCACTAAAATATAATTATAAAATTTATTGCACATTAACACATTTCTATTTAACTATAAAATACACACTATATAAAAATATTATAAAAAAATTACAATATTTAAACATTAGTGACTCCCTTGTGGTTCACTTTTAGAAGCTAACACATTAATATTTGGTTCATAGTTTGAAGTTTTTAATTTTATGCACAATTGGCATGCCACTCAAAATTCTTTTGCGTGCCACAGGTTGCCGACTGCTGGTCTAGTATACTGTTTTATCAATATATACTAATGAACCTAAGCATACAGATGATCTTTTATTTGAAAAGAAAAAGATAGTGTCTGAATTTATTATGCACATTCTGACAATGTCATGATTTAAATATACACATCTCTAAGCCTGATAGTTGTATTAAAGTCAGATTAGATTAGACTATATTACTGCTATTATTATTAATTAAATGCTAAGTAATGTGGCTTAGAGGTTGGCATTAAAGAAAATTTCTTATTAAATTTAATAATTAAAATTAAATTAATATTTATTAATTAATTCAGAAGGTTCTGGAAGAAAAGAATCAGCCTGGAGTGGGCGTTTAACCTACAGCTGCCATATACTGTGATCTGCATTGCCAGTTATGTGACCTGGACTTTCCTCTGATCTTTGTTTCCAGAACTATTGATTTAGATATAACCAAACTGGTTATTCACAGTGCCATCTGGAAACAACTCAGTGCCCACAGCCTATAACTCTCACTGTTATTTAGCATTTAATTATAAATAATAGCAGTAATATAGCCAAATCTAATCTGGCAATTGTTTGGCAGATTAGATTTGGCTATATTACTGTTAATACAATGAAAAGTTCATACTTATTTTTAACATTTAAAAAAAATCTATTTGTGTACTTCTCATCCATAAAAACCTTTATTTGTCAAGTTAAAATAAATATCAGTATTGGTTTTTATAATTGTTTGTTATATTTAATTCAGGATGAATATAACTATCTTTTTTTTTTTGTAACAGTTATCTATAAATTTATTGTAACTTACTTCATTTATATCAAATTAAATAGAAATGATGAATATAAGAAATAAAATGCAGTAATTTAATAATAAACTTTAATTAGGAGATAGTTTGAATTTTACTATAAAAAAATAATTCTATTCATGGTCACTTCTTTGCAAGCATCATATGTGTTCTGTTGAGAATAACTTCCATGTGTTCCTTTGGCCTATCTGACAGCAAGTGGCAAGTTTTCTGTATGTAATATTTAGTCATTCTGGTGTCTTTGTACTTAACTGGAATACTATAAACCTGGTCCCTACATAACAGTTCTTTTGGGTTTTTTATTAAGTCATACACTGTGGGTCTTCTCACTATAACTACCTTAGTGTCTATGCTTCTAAGGTAAAGTTTTAGTACTTTGGCTGTGGCATTCCCAATCACTTTGATAGTCCGTCTTTCAGATAATTCTCTGCTTGGCAATTCATTGTTAATATTATAATTTATAATGTTAACAAATAAATTAATTCATATTTATAATTTTTACTTTATTGGACTGCAATTTGAAAAATTGTATACCTATAAATTTCCTGTTTATGTCTGTCTCTTTCCTTAATCTCAAAAATGGAGTTAGATAGATAAAAGACAAGACCAGATATGAAAACTTTGGGGCATTCTGAATTAACTAGATACAAACTTCTAACGCAAACCAGAAGTCGTGTTATTTCAGTTCAAAAATTTTCTTCTGTAAGGTGTTAAATAGATGACTGGCACAACTCTATTGTTAAAGGAAAAGTATGGTGTACAGAGGCAAACTGCCACTAATTTGAGTTGGAGAGCATATATTTTAAATTAAAAATATGATTAAAAATTGCAGTCAGGCATAATTGCTCATTTACATTTTATATATTGATAACACTTTCTATATTTGTTTTAAATTTAAATCAAAACTTTATTGCACATGTGCAGAAATGAACACATTTAGGTTAAAAATGTTTTTAGATTGCATAAGAAAGAGATTTTAAAATCAAGGTTCGAATTTTATGTATTCTTTTTTCACCTGAGGAAGACATTCTGAAATGTCAAAAGTACTTGTTTAATTCATCAAATGAATAAATTTAACACTGAAAGATAGTACAATTTTGGTAAATTTTTACCATGGTAGACCCAACAGCCACACTTCCAGTCGCCATCTTGTTTGTGAACACAAAGTCCACAATCAAGATGGTGAACGGTGAAATATACAAAAACTAAATACATTTTAGTGCAATTATTACAATAAACAGTATTAAAAACAAACAATAATATTAAACTCACTTTTTACATACTTTCATTTCTCTTTCTTCTTTTTATACATTGAACATGCTTCTTCACAAGTTGTAGAAAATTCATCTTTTCCCATCAAACATGATTTAACTGCACTTTTAGATGATTCTAAACTTGTATTTTTCCTATTATTAGGTTAGTTTGGTTAACTACATTTTTAGTGAAGTTTCCTTTTTATTCTTTTTAGGTATTCCTTTCTTCTGTTTGCTGGGTTCAGAGGCATTAGGCAACATGCATTATCTTGTCGACATATACCTCCCAACAACACAACAAATTCCCTTAAAAATCCTTACTTTTTCGTTATTTCTTTTATTAAATACATTTTCATCAATTTCAACTATTTTTCCTGGACCATCAACTTTAAATTTAGATTTGTTACTTACAGATATCGTCATGCAAAAAATCCATTGAAGTGAGCTTTTTCCAAAATTCTTCTAAAATTTTCTCAATTTCCAAAAATATTTGTTTATATTACTATTAATACAACTAATATTAATTACAGTTGTAAATTCTATAAAAAAAAAAACAATAAAGTTTCAAAATTCATAAAACTTATAAATTCTCATCAACACACATTAGCAGCAAATAATCTCAAATTTTGCATATTAATAAAAACTTTTAATCAGTGCCACCTACATCGTAATTCATCTGGCACATGTCAAGATTCTGGAAGAGCTTCCATCAGGTCTACCAAGATAAACATTTACCACAATTTCTTATTTTCAAAGCTTCAGTACTCTTGAATTTTTAACTTTTATAAATATTTCTTTTTATCAATTGCTTATGCAAATTTGAAAAAATTCTAAATACTGTAAAAAGATTACTAGTTGATGCAAAGGCACTAGCATAAACTCTATCAGCTAGTTGTCATAACATTCAGAATACAGCTTATATGTAGTTTATATTGTATATGTAATGTGTTCATTGCTTTTGCCATTTATCATTTAATTATCTAAAATTATCATATATTTATATATTATAATTTATTATTATTGTATTTCTTTGATTGTAAAATGCATCATGGGTTTAATTTTAATTTTATTAAGATCTATGTTACCTGTTTTGTGGCATTTCTAATTTAAAAAATCTTAATAAAATTAAAATTAAACCCATGATGCATTTTACAATCAAAGAAATACAATAATAATAAATTATAATATATAAATATATGATAATTTTAGATAATTAAATGATAAATGGCAAAAGCAATGAACACATTACATATACAATATAAACTACATATAAGCTGTATTCTGAATGTTATGACAACTAGCTGATAGAGTTTATGCTAGTGCCTTTGCATCAACTAGTAATCTTTTTACAGTATTTAGAATTTTTTCAAATTTGCATAAGCAATTGATAAAAAGAAATATTTATAAAAGTTAAAAATTCAAGAGTACTGAAGCTTTGAAAATAAGAAATTGTGGTAAATGTTTATCTTGGTAGACCTGATGGAAGCTCTTCCAGAATCTTGACATGTGCCAGATGAATTACGATGTAGGTGGCACTGATTAAAAGTTTTTATTAATATGCAAAATTTGAGATTATTTGCTGCTAATGTGTGTTGATGAGAATTTATAAGTTTTATGAATTTTGAATCCAGAATTAAAATGAATAGCTATACATATATATATGTATAGCTATTCATTTTAATTCTGGATCACAATACCATCTTGAAAGTATTTTAGGTGTTACAAAGGAGTTTAAGTTAAACATTTGTTAGCAGTAAAGATCATTTGAATTAATGTGATTGTTGAATAGTATAACTGGAAATGTCTCTGATTGGTACATAATTCACCACTTGGTTTGTTGGTGATGACTTCTAATTGTTGTTTAGAGCAACGAATAGAAAATTTCATTGATTTAAGACAAATCTGTTTCAGACAAGTAAAAATAAATACACAAATGTATGCCTTAGAATCAAGGAAATAAGATATTTGCCATTGTATTTAGCTTCCTGATTGCAAATTAGGTTTGACAAATATGTATAATCAGGAAACTGAGTACAATATTTTTAAAACATTTCACTTTACAGATTTTTAAATTATAATTTTTCAGAATTTAAATTATCCAGAACAAAAGGTTGTCACAGTTGGTCAGTTTCGAATAGGATTATGTCATGGACATCAGATTGTGCCTTGGGGAGATGCAGATAGTTTGGCTTTAGTTCAGAGGCAACTTGATGTAGATATTCTCATATCTGGACACACACACAAATTTGAAGCATATGAACATGAGAATAAATTTTATATTAATCCTGGATCTGCTACTGGAGCATATAGCCCATTAGAAAGGTTAGTAAATGTTTTTAACATTTAAAAAAATTATATTATTTTAATATTTCATTACCTTGATACCAATAAATATTTATTTATGATGACTATTTATCAATTTATTATAAATTTTAGACACATTTGGATATTGAATAAAGAAATCCTAAATATATTATATTACATGTACAATTTGTATGTCTGGCTCGTATAAATCAGTTACATAATTTTAATTGTTAACATTTTAAATTTCATAAAAATTATTAATTAATTATAATTATAAAGTTAGGATTTTTATCTTAAACAAATATTTAATATTTTAATATTAAATACAAAAGTTTGATATTACTAAATTAAAATTAATATTTATATTTCAGCAATATCATTCCATCTTTTGTTCTTATGGATATTCAGTCTTCTACAGTTGTCACATATGTGTATCAGCTGATTGTAGATGAAGTCAAAGTTGAAAGAATAGAATACAAAAAATCATAATATCATTCTGAGTTTACATCCCAATATTTTTATGTATTATTGTGGTTATATTTATCTGTATATTGTAATTTTTCAACATTTTCAGTTGTGAAATCAAGAAATGGAAACAATACAAATTATCATTGCATTTATATTCGTTATTTAGTCAAGAAATAATGTATAAAATTTGAATTAAAAAATTTTCTCTTACTTACAAATTGTAATATTAACAAATAATTAAAAATTAGACATACTTTTTTAATTGAAAGTTTATGATGATGATGATAATTTGAGATGATCAAAATTAGGAATTTGAATAATATAAAATTGTTGTTAGTAGTATTTAATTTTTTTATAACAGATCTTTTTAAGTAATGCTGAATTACCATAATTTTATTTTTGTCAATGAATATTTCTTAAACTTATTCTTATAAAATTATACTCTGTAAATAAAAATGTTATAAAAAAATTATCTATTATCATTTTAATCTACATTGTTCAAATATTTATACTTTTTAAAACAGAGTTGGTGCCAGTTTAGTGTAGAAGCAGTATTAAATTACCTGTCTGTTTTTTCTTTTGTATAGATGAATATTCTACATAAAGATAAAAATCTTGAAGTTAAATATTAATACAATTTAAATACAATAGAATAAAAGAATAATCTTTCATATGGGTTATATTTAAACACACAANTTTATCTGTATATTGTAATTTTTCAACATTTTCAGTTGTGAAATCAAGAAATGGAAACAATACAAATTATCATTGCATTTATATTCGTTATTTAGTCAAGAAATAATGTATAAAATTTGAATTAAAAAATTTTCTCTTACTTACAAATTGTAATATTAACAAATAATTAAAAATTAGACATACTTTTTTAATTGAAAGTTTATGATGATGATGATAATTTGAGATGATCAAAATTAGGAATTTGAATAATATAAAATTGTTGTTAGTAGTATTTAATTTTTTTATAACAGATCTTTTTAAGTAATGCTGAATTACCATAATTTTATTTTTGTCAATGAATATTTCTTAAACTTATTCTTATAAAATTATACTCTGTAAATAAAAATGTTATAAAAAAATTATCTATTATCATTTTAATCTACATTGTTCAAATATTTATACTTTTTAAAACAGAGTTGGTGCCAGTTTAGTGTAGAAGCAGTATTAAATTACCTGTCTGTTTTTTCTTTTGTATAGATGAATATTCTACATAAAGATAAAAATCTTGAAGTTAAATATTAATACAATTTAAATACAATAGAATAAAAGAATAATCTTTCATATGGGTTATATTTAAACACACAAACTGCTGAATCCAATAATTAAATAAAATTATTGGATTTTGAGAATATTTGAAGAATTGCTTTTAATAGAGAAAAAAAGAAAGACTTTTATATCATTAATAAAAATATAGATTAAAAAAATTATATCAGGAATTATGTATAGAAATATTGCAATTATATCTACAAACATAAAAGTATTATATTTTAAAAAAATATAAAATAAGTAAAATATATTTATCATTGGTAGATAAAGAAAAAAAACAATTTTCTGATTTAGATATTTTTTTCACTTTAAGAACTGTTATAAAGTAAAATGAGCATCAAAAAGTATATAGAATAATAAAATTTACAATACAACTTTATTCTAGTTCTGTTTAAATCAAAAAAGCAGATAATTAGTGTCAATAACTGAAATTGCAATTCTTTTAAGATAGTCCAATATACTTTAGAAAATTATGTCATGTTTTTATTTTATCACAGATAAATTTGCAAATTTTGCTTAATTAAAGTATGTAAGATGTTAAGAATAAAACTTTAAACATTTTTTGAGGAACTATTAATTTTTTTTAATATAAAAAGTTAGTTTTTGAAATAAATTCTAAAATTAATTAGGAAATATGTATTGTTGTTGTTATTAACAGTGTTATTTAAAAAGTTGATAGAATAATTTCATAAATGTTTAAATTAATAAGGAGGCTAATTGGGCTGCAATATGAAAAAAATTGTAGACACACAAATTCCCACTGTCATCTATCTTTCCTTAATTTTGAGAATGGAGCTAGTTAGGTGAAATCAGAGGCCAGATAAGGAAACCTTGGGGCAGGAGACCCGATTAACTATATGCAAACTGGAAGTCATGTTACTTCAAACATTTTTTCCCAAAAGATGGTAGATAGTTGACTGGCATGGCCCTATTGTTAAAGGAAAAGTATTATGTACAGGGGCAAGCCATCACTAATTTGAGGTGGAGAGCATATTTACATTAAATAAAAATATGATTAATCTAAGTGACTTGTTTTAAACTGCTCTATTTCTGTTAAACATCATTATTAGTGACAAATTAATCAGATTAGTAATTAATATTCAAAAGTCAATATTTGTTTTCTGTATATTCTGTGTACATGTATAAATGGCTACTGAAAATTTAAATTAAAAAAATTATTTTTATCACAAATCATTCTGATAATAGAGTATAGTTAAGTTTTATATTTCCAAATCTGTTACTTTCAAACAAAAAATTAATTTCTCAAAGGTTTTTATTGCATTTTAATAATTGTAATTAAGGAAAAAAATTTTTTTATTTAGAAAGTAAGCACCTATTTAATACACATTAATATTTTTATGGTTTAAATTTTAAAATTCTTTAAATAATAATATTTTTAAATCATAATTTTTAGTAAATTTACATATTCAATTTTTTTTCAAGAAAGTAAGTAATTACAAGAAATTTTTTCTGTACTTTCTTTTATTCATTTATGTAAAAATTCTAATGAACATTTTTTCATAAAAATAATCAAAATATAATTTTTAAACTTATTGACAAAGTCATAAAAATAAATAAAATACTTGCTCAAAGCAATTCAATATCAAATTGACTTTAGATTACTTTTCCGAACAATTTTTACTTTTCAAACATCTTTTTAAATGTAATTTTATTTATTTTTTATTTATTTTGATTGATTAAAGAAATATTTTTTAAATTTTTATTTTAAAATTCCCAAGCAATATAATTTGTAAACTTTTTAAACTTCTTTTTATATTCAAATTTTTAAATTAAATTTATATATGAATTTTTTTATGTTAAAATGCATAAAATCCAGCATATATTTTAGTATATAATTATAACATTTCTTATATTGTGACAAGATTATTTTACAGATATTTAGTTATCAATGAATATAACAAGAACCCTTTTATCCTGTCAAATGAATGTTGGCCTCATACTTGAACATCTAAATATTCAAATTCCAAGAAAGATATTTTTTTAAATTTTGCTGTCAGACAACTTTATTGAAAAGTTACTCTTGTAAGTTTATAGAGATTTATTTTCCTTGTAGTTTTATCTTTTTAATAGAATTTTTTATTTACAATTAAATTGATATAATAATAAGAAGAAAGAATCATTGAAACTATAACGATTTTTTAAATATTTAATAATTTTGCTTATAGAATTAATTTAAATAGGAAAAATTTGAGTATCTGCCAAACAAGAATTAATATACTAATTATGATTTTCTGTGGTCTGTTTCTTCTATTAAATTAATAACAATTTTTTTTTTTTTTTTCAAAATTCCAAATTAAAAATTTCTGACAATTACAAATCTGTTTGTTGCAGAATACTTGATGCTTTTAAACTTGGTGTCTTCAAAACCGGTTGGGAAATAAACAAAATTTGCGAACATTTTATCCATTATCTTTTTATAATAATAATAAAAAAATTTCCTTACAGTATATTTAAAAATTTAACAATTCTCTCCACGAAATATCATCCAAGAATTGAAATTTTTTCTAACTTGGATTATAATGTTACAAGAAAATTCTTGGAAGATCTCACTTGTTAACTGACTCTGTTTAACACACTGTTCTTTATTTGCACATACATAAATGCTTCTCTATTTTCCATCCACAATTATATAGAGCATTATGTAAAGTAAACTTAATTTTCTTTATTTATTTATTCATTTTTAATCCTTTCCGTTCTTACTACTAGCAAGATTTATATAAATTTTAAAAAGCTCGATTTTCTGTTCTAGTAGTGTTTATATTTATCTTTACATAAGACATTAAAAATTTAAAAAGTTTTGTCTAGATTATTAAAACTTCATTAAAGAAAAACAGTGTAAAGTAATAACTACTTTATGGTTTTATTGTTGATTTTAACAAAAGCAATAATTACTTCCTTGAAAACTTTTTATTTTTTGCTTTTTATCTTATTATATATATCTCGACCGGTTTTAATTTCAAGGGTAATATATATGGACATTATTTCTCTTTAAATATTAAAGGAAAATCATTTTATAAATATATTCAAAATTTTAAAAAATATATTAAATTCATTAAAAGATTTATAAAGATTAGAATCGTTAACAATTGTTTTGATGGAGCATTACGCTTGTAAATGGAGGGTGACGAGGAAACCCATGGTGTTTTAATATAGGAAATAATGATAAATAAATGATTCGTTATATCAAGTACACTATAAACCATAAATTTTATTGTAATTAATGTACTAAACTCCATATTGAAATGATATTTGCGAAAAAGAAAGCCTTTAACAAGTTCAGTTCTCATTAAGATTTTGCGAGAAAAATTCAATTCGAATTTAGAAAATGTTAAATTATGCAAAATTTGAAGGTGAAAAATATTTTATATGATAGGGAATTGATTTATGATGATGGCATTATACGGTATATTTATGCACAAGATGTATACTACCATGTGTAGTCTCTTGTGTAATTACTTTGAAATATAACGTCGCATTTTTACACTTAATTATACAGTTTATACATTTAAATTATAAACTTTACAAGAGAATATTGAAACATTATTTATTCGAGTGTTTAATCCATATGAATAATGGAAACAATTAATGTTAAACTCTTGAAAGAGCCGTCGAATAAACGTAAAACAATTGATACTAACAATACACTGTGTGTTCAATCGGATAATTGACATCTGTACAAAATTGTAGAGTTCTAAAAGGATCAGAACTCGATTAAAGTACATATTATAAATTGTGTGAAACTGTAAACTACGAACGAAACATTAAATTGATTTAGAAATTATTATTAAAAGTTAAATACAATTTTATCATTTATTGTATAATTTTTGCAACTAATTATAGTAAATATCTCACCGATTATCTTCTCGAGAAACGACAATTGTCATAAAATGTACGTTTAAACGTGAACTAAATGCTAAATACCGTATAGAAGCAATTCGTTGTAAATTAAGTAAGCGTGAAACTCGCTATACAATTTATAAATTCGTGTTTTATGTCGAATGTTACCAGTAGATATACTTAATAGAAAAGTTATACCTATTATGCAATGCCCCCTCAATTCAGATTCACGCGTGCTTAAGTTTACTTTGTGCTGCAAGGAAAAATTAAAATCTTTAAAACGTACTGTATTCGGTAACAAACTTTTCTAACAGATAATACGGAGAATGAGGACTTAGGCCTATAGAACCAGCTTTGAAGAAGTTTTATTACATGTATAAATAAGTATTAATCGATGGTTATAAAGCATTAATTTCAATAAATAATTATTTTCTATTTTCGCCGGAAATCGGTGTTTTAACAATTAGTAATCGTTATTTTTACTGTGTAAAGGTATTCGTAATATTACACACACGAGTGAATTTATAATCACGGATAAAAAGAAATAAGGGAATACACAATCAAAACACTTTTAATGACCTAAGAACTCTTCGATCTGCAATCGTTAAGAAGGTCCATTAATCATAGTCATTACGAGTTCGGCAGGACCATTGAACACCAGACGATGAGGGACGGCTCAATAATTTATAAAAATTTTGAGCCAAAAGACCCGAACCCGGGTCCTTTAGGGCAATATGTTACTGCATTTACTATTTCGGTCATAAGTCCGATGATTTCAGACTCCCCACCAATAGCCGAGTGTATAAAATCACTGAACTCTGGTAGTTGGTCGCGGATTTGCGTCTCAAAACGAGCTGGCCACGTGGGGGTTTCCAGATTTTCTTCACGTGTAATACCTAAATAGGACCTAGTTTCCCCATAGAAAACCTTCCCGGAAGGTATTCTCCCTTGGCAGATTCCCGTAAGTTGCGTTGCCGTTTCCTGTTAAACCAAACATTCATTTTTTTTTTCATTTTTGACTCAACTGTGGGCAATAACAAGGTCTTAAAAAAATCGTGCAAATTATAGGTTCGGTCAGGCCCACAGCGGGGGCAGTCGAGTAATGAGGGACGGAGTCTGACAAATCCGGGACGGATCGGCCATGAAAAAATTCAGGGTCCGGGCAATCCAGAAATTTTTCGTGCCTTAACCACATCGACCATCCGGGCGGGATTCGCTAATGGTACGAACTGCTCAGGAATTAGTGTTATCTTTTTTCTTGACTAAATAAACAGGATGCTGTGTATCCGCGAGGCACTCCCTACGCCTGTACGCAGGGTCGCCGAGAGCTTGTAAAGAGCCGGGGTAGAGGGAACACCACTCGCTTTTTTTTTTTTTTATGTAGAATGCTTATTTATTAATGAATAAAAATAGTCTTAAAGACTTTTATTTTTTCAATTAAAATAACATTAATTTATATGAACAGGTCCTTATAAAATTTCTTTAGGCCCGGGGAAAAAATCCCCACCTACCTGTAATCATTCGTATTCGTTTGTTTAAAGCCGTATCCTTCCTGGCTTTGTTTCAAATTCTTATAGAACGTTTACAATTCCTTGACATCGCTATCATTAACTTCGGGAAAACAATTAATTTTTCTGTTAGTTCAAACCACGTTTCGTATTTTTGTAGAAACTACTTTTATTATTATTATTATTATTATTATTCCATGATGATAGAATTATTAGACATGTATAAATATCCAGTTTCACGAATTTTTCAGTTCGTGAAACTGGATACTTATACATGTCTAATAATTCTAGTTTAATAATAGTTCAGTTGTTTATTGTTGTCAGGCTCCTTTACTATTTGAAAAGTACGTCACGTGTTCATAAAATGGCCAACAATGCATGTAAAAGGGTCCAAGTAGGTCTGGTTCGATGGCCGGATGACTGAGGTAGGCAAGGCGTTAACCTATCATTGGTGCACCCGGAATCGAATCCAAGCGAGTAAACTTAGAAAGTTTTCGTGGGTCTGTCTTGGATACGTCGGGTCCCGTCCCTTACCACCCGGCCGACACCACGATGGGTATGGGAAAATCCGGTTGTACCACAGAACAGAAAGAATTTAAAAAAAAACTAAGAAAAGTACTAATCCTGTTCTTGAAAACTGAAATTAATATGCAAATTTCAACAACAGATTATCAAATAATTTCGATTGCGGACTCGAACGCATTAAAATACAGTGATTCATTCGTCTTTCGGCTTAAAAATTTTTAATGAAACAATTTGGCAGAAATACTTGCTACATTTTAAACGTAAAATTCAACGATTAGACTTAGATTTGAAAGAGTTTTACCAATAAATTTTCGAGAAAGATAACTAAAGATAAACAGGCCTATATCTTGAGATTTTAACAACAGGATTTGCGAATCCTGTTGTTAAAAACAGAACAGATCATCCGCCATATTTGTCGAGATTAGTGCACTAATCAACTCTAATATTAAAATGGCGAAATGCAAAGTTGCCAATCCTGTGAATTTCGCCAAAGTAAATTCTGTGATTTGTCTAATCGTCTGTTGGTGAAATAGGGGATTAAATTTGGCACTACATTAACCTTATACGCTGATGCCACTTATTACAAAATCCAGCAACGAGTTGCTGGATTTGCCCAGCAACATTTAGTGGTGCCATTTGTTATCATATTTTATTTAAATTTTTTTATTTTTAACTATTATAAAATGGCAAAAAGCTTAATTTTCAGGGTAGGAGTGCGTTTTATAAGAAATTGTAAATGCTAATAAAGAGTAAAAACGTCATTAAGTCCGACCTTACTAGAGATACATTCAACTCCCATTATCTCTCCACACCCTCGACCTTTAATAACCAAAACGTAANGTGGTGCCATTTGTTATCATATTTTATTTAAATTTTTTTATTTTTAACTATTATAAAATGACAAAAAGCTTAATTTTAAGGCTAGGGATGGATTTTATAAAAAAAATTGTAATAGCAAGTAAAATCGTCATTAAGTCCGACCCTACTGGAGATACACACGACACTTTTATCTTCCCACTTCCTCGACCTTTAACCATCAAAATCTAATAAATCAACCCCCTCATTAAACAAACCTCTCTGAAAAATTTCAGAAATTTTCGACAAAAAGCACAGGAGATATTAAGCTTTAATTAAAGAGAGTGAACAAAATCGTTCTCCCCACACACTAACATCCATACATACAGAAAAAACAACCAATTTTTTTTATTGCATTTCTCCACGTTTTAATGTGCTCTGAGCTTAAAAATGTACCGATCGCCATACTTACTAAAGTAAGATCTACTCAATAAATGCAGAGAAACTATGCACAATACCAGCGTGTCATTTAATACGTACGTAATAATCTGCAGTTTTACTCACATGTCGACATGTGAATGTTAGTATGAGGATTCTCATATAAAATAAAGTTTCATTTATTCCATAAAGTAGTTCTATCCGTGTCCTTTTCATTACAGATACGCATTAATGCCTAACGATTTATGTAAGACACGAAAATCGACAAGTTTTGACTTGTCAGCGAGTCGCGAACAAGAAATTTATGTATGAAAAAAATATTGCATCCGCGCACTGTTTAAAGTTTTGGCTTTTGTGTCGGCTTTTCGGGTGAGTAAATTAAAATTTTATTACAGTTATTACATCTCTTATTATATGACATACACAAGTATAATAGAAAGAATAGAAAATTATAGAAAGTGTTACTAAGGAATGAGAACATACAACACGTTAGTTTCCCAGTACCAGACAGTACCAATTCACCCAGTACCGGACAAGGACAAAATGCATTTTGTTAAGAAAAATCCACATCATAGCTTTTATTTTTCTCTTCTACTGTCAATAATGTCAATATGGGGACCAAAAACAATGGTCTGTAGACTTGGCATCTGTGGTGCATGTAAATTTTGTATGCCTTAGGAACTTGATGTTTTTTAACTTAATTATGTTTTCTTTTTGAAAACAAAGATTTATTTTATTGACCTGTATCGTTTTAGCAAGAAATTTAAATGAAAAATTCTAATTATTCGAATATTCAGTACACAAATAACTTCTAATATGTGTCCGATGCTGGGCGAAAATCCCTATATTTTATGAGAAGAAATTTCTATATTTTATACTTAAAGAAAGGAAAAAATAAAGACAAAAATAGGAATAAGATTTGTTATCACTGAAAGTGGGAATGAAATGTAATAACTATCACTTTAAAGTGTCACAATCCACAAGTGTGTCCCATCATTTTTTATATAGAAAAAAATCAAATTATTGTTTTAAAGTGTAGCTCTTAAATATATATGAAATAACATAATTCTAAATTCATTTTATTGTTTTATGTCATCGATATATACAGTATAATATTTAGATTTTAAGTTCTTTTCGATTCGTTAATTCTACAGATTTGACCATGACTTTAAATGAATCTTCTATTTTTATATTTCTTTTTTGAGTTTATACAAAGATTTTCTTGAGCACTGTTATTAAATTATCATTTAAGAAATGTTGGGTTTGCCTTTTATTAAAAATAATTAAAAAATTTAATGCAAACTTACAAATTTTCAAAAATTTATGGAAAAGTTTAGCAAAATTGTGCCTTAAAGTATGATAATAAACTATATACAGTATAATAAACTATTATTTACTTTTCTGTATTAATTAAGCAACAATTTTGTTGAATGTTTTAAGAAAATATTATCAAATTACTAAAAATTCTATTAAAGTCATGATTTATTCGAGTTTAAATTTCAAATTTTTATTATTCTTGAAACAAAGACAAAGAATTTCATTTTTTTAAACTATTTATTTTAACAATTTTTAAGAATACAACTGAGATTCGAATGTGAGTTTTTCTGTATAAGAAAATTAATACATTTTCTGAGATTTTACAATCTAAGAAAGAGATGATTTCTAAGTACTGTACGTCGACCATGTGCAAAAAATTCTCTCTGTAGCTGCTATTTCTGCACTAGTAGTGATTTATACCATACAATATCTAATTTCCACTGTACTATAAACTCGACTAACTTCAAAGACGTAACATTGTACTGTACATTTAAAACATTATCAGAAAAAAAATTCCTTTTATTTACAGAAATTCGGATTCGATTCCTTTATAAAAACAAAAAAAAAGAAATTAGATAAATTTACATCGACCCTTCTGGAATCAAAAAGTAAATCTTCAAAATTCTTTACAAAAAAAAAAATTGCAAAAATCAGTAAATAAATTTTTATATTTTTTGGTTTATTTATAAGTTTTTAATAGATTATGACGGAATTTAATACATTTTATATATTATATTTTAAAATATATATATATATATATTNTATATATATATATATATTATATGTTTTAAGAATCTTTCAGTGTTTTCACGATTAGGGGACTTCAAACAGTTCCACAGTTTTTTTGTGTTATATGGCACTTTACTAATGCAAAATAATGCTAAAATCTATTTGTACGATTAGAAAATAGCATTGTAAGCTTCGAATGCAGTTGTTAAAACGAAAAGAATTGATGGAATTATTTGACTAGCGTCATTCTTCTTATCATCATCGTCGTCGTCGTCGTCGTCGTCATCATCGTCATCATCATGGTCGTGACCTTCGTCTTCGTCTTTATCCGGTTCGTCACCCGTGTCTGATGAAATCTTCACTACTCTTCCGTGTAATTTTTGAGTTGGTCTAAAATTATCTTCAAGCTGATCGTCATCATCACCATCCGATTTTTCTTTCAGGGCACGGAATTGCTCCAGCTTTCGAATGTAAAAAGTAAGTTAGAAAGCTTTTAAAAATATAAAATTAATATAGTTTCTTATTCGAAAATTTTACCTGTCTTTCGCTAATTGTTTGCGTATGTTTAAAAACTGTCCAAATTACGGATTCGTAGCAAGGAGGAGTAGTTAAAGATCCTTCGTATCTGTAATATGGTAAAGTATCATCTGGAAGCAAATCATCGAGATCAAACGATTCTTTCACTTCCGCCGAAGATCCTTCTGGAATAATATCATCCAACGTGTCGATAACAGATGCTAATTCTTTATTATCTTCCTTGCTCAACTTTAAAAGAATAAAAAGTAATAATTAGAATTAACGAATTTGTACCGTGTTTTGGAGGACATATTGGAATTCGATGCGAAGGGGATGCGCCTCGTCGCGTAAGAGTTTATCAACGAATTATATAAAAATTTACAAGTACATTTTAAATAAGTTATTAATATTTTATCAAACTTACTTCGAACAATACTCCCAATACTGCTAAACCATCTGGTTTCATAATTGCAACCTCCGGCTTGTAGCGACTGTTATAATGCACTAAATGCATCTGGAAATTAGAAAATAACCTCATTATGTTATTAATTAATAAATAGTATAATATATCTATACAATATAGACTCAGAATTATATTAATTTACCTCTAAAGGATAATCACTTCCTTCTATAGTGTGCTCTGATCCTTCATCATTCTTTTGACCCCAATGGAAGTGAAGTTGCAAGAATTTGTATGTACCATTCAAACCTGCACCAGAAATCGACTGTACCGGATTTTTTAACGTTAGTTGTGCTAAAAAAAAATAATAAAATAAAAACGCAATAAAGATATAAATTTAAATAAAAGCCGAATGACCTTGTAAATAACCACTTAACACTCACCTGTATGTCCATTATTTTCTAAGATAGCATCTTTTATATGCGTTTCGTAGCCGAAAAATTTAATTAATTTGAGATTTTCGTCTTTCTTTACGTTATCGACGTCTATGTCAATAGGGGATTGCCTGTTACCGCCACAGGTAGGATATTCGTCATCCCAATTTTCTGGACCTGAGGGAAGAAATGTACGCTCCAGAAAACAGAAAATTTCCCATATTTTTTAATGAGAAAAATGTAACAATTTTTAAAAAATGAGAATGTTTTTTAATACAGTCAAATCTCGATTTAACGCCTTCCTCGTAAAGCGCCAATTAATACTTGTGCGACGATCTTCTTCATATTATTAAAATGGAAGACACGTCATTATCTGTACGTTTTGCATTATTATTTTTTTATTACAAAATTACGTGATTTTCCAAATTCCCAAAACTCGAATTTATGTGTAAACTTCGTTCTTATTGTTTGAGATACTTCGATTTAGCGCCATACTCGATTTAGTGCAGTTTCAGAGATGTACAAATCGAATTCACTATATTTTTAGCAAATTTTCTCTTATAAATTTAATTCTTATTTTCTCATAAAACTAGCTTAATTATAGATTTTTTTTCTATTGTGTAAAAAGGTGTCATTTTACTTTTGGTGCTTGTTACTGTAATAATATTATAGGAAAGTCGGCATTTTTAATTAAATAAAAATAATAATTAAAAAAAAAAAGAATCAACCAGAAAAATAGATTTGAGATAAAATTCATTACTAAAAGCGATAAATTTTTATAAACAAAAGTTTAATTTAGCATAAGTTACAAGGATATATGAAGGTGTATTGAATGTCAGCTTGTGTCAGTTTAAAAACGAGTTTAAAAAAAAAATACGACCTAATAGTAAGTGCCGACTTAATTTATTATTTTAGAAGTTCAAGAGCAGCTAGTTTACTATATAAAATATTTTCTCACGGTGTTTAATATACTAAACTTACCCAATTTTCCAGAGTAACCCCAATCGTGATCGTGTCCCTTAGCTTTACCACCTTCGATCCCTATAAAAGAAAATAAATCAATTATTAAATTATATATTTAATAAATATTATTCGTTAAAACTCAAGAAAATGATATTTTATTTAACTGTGTTTATTTATGACCTCCTTAAGTGCAGAGGGGATCGAAAAAAATCACAAGAATTCGGCCCCCTGCTTGACGTAATCTATGACGGGGGGTGACTGCACGTGGATCTCTCCGCTTGTAACATCTTGATGACCTTTATTTAGGCTAATCATTATCGTCGTTCGATTAATTATTATTTTAAAAAAAAAAAGGCAACATTCGTCTCGTCATCTCTTCGTATGAATCCGAAGAAAATGCAATTTGTCTCCAGCTAATGAAAGAGGGTGTTTAAAAATCGCTCGTGCTTGTAATTTAATTGAAAACGAAGAATGTTACTATGTAAATGTGTTTAGCAATCGCTAGATAATTATATTTAAACATTCAAATTTAATTTTATTAATTAATTCTATTTCTATGTTTACCCCGTAGGAAATCGAATTAATGAGATTAAGCAAAGAATATGAGTCATCAATATTCAAGAATCATGACTCTCACCAAATTGGAAGTAGGATAAGAAAAAGTATTTACTAATGTCGTAAGATTTAATGTTTAAAAATCTTTAAAATTTTTTCTTAAAAATATGAAAAAAAAAATTATAAAAATTACACTCAGAAAATATTAACCTTGTTAAATATTTCCATTACTGAAATGTATTTTATCAAATCCTCTAGAGGAAAAAGGTCAAGAACTTGACTTCAAAATTAGTTTATGATATCTCAAGGTTTCTAGTNTTAAATTTATATTAATTAAAAATATATATATATATTTTACCACAAAAGTACAGCATACGAAGGACTTTTTATTATATCAATAGTTTTTTAAAACAATTGTTAAACATTATTTGTGTTTACGGTTTAGTATTGTGAAACACACAAAAATTGTGTAAGTCTGAAAGGATATTTTTACACTTCGTAAGGAAAAAAAAAATGGAGAATAAAATGTCTCGTTTCTCCTTCACCACAAAACATTTTTTTTTCTTTTCTTCCTCCTCCTCATCAACTCATCAATCTTCTCTAATTTATAAGTAAACAGATACTTAAGTTCTTTGATGGAACATTGAAAATTATGAGATTAAGTAACATTTTATTCATAGAATGGAGTAAAAACCGACTCGGTAAGCTTTACAATGACAGGAAAAAAAAATGGAATTTTATTGGCGAAATAAAACAATAAACGTCCTTCGTACGCTATAAATTTGTTAATATTTCAATTAGGCAGCTTTTCATTCGATAAAATGACAATTGTTGAGTGATATTAAAGAATTTTTAACGTTAAACTAGTGTCGTATGCTCATAGAGTATTGGCTCTATAATGTATACCGGATATTGGTGAGAAAAAATCCAGTTCCGTGAAATTTAAATCCTGTTTTAGTCTATCGAGATAATGAAAGTGATCCTGTTTTATAAGTTAAACAAGGAAAAAAAATTATTGATGATAATTTTTAGATCTTCTTTCAGCCAGACAATTGATGAATTTTAGTATCATTTTATGTAGAAATTAATACTCATCTCAGCATTCTAGAAATAAAGCTGGCATCTTAAAGAAAATGTTGAATGTTTAATGACTTACCTAGGATTAAATATAGTTTTCTACAAATAGAATAAAGCGTTAACTTAATTAGGACAAAGTTTTTTTTTTTTTTTTTTAATTATAATTATAATTAATTGTTTAAACACCGTCTCCAATTTGGAAAATGTCTTAGGTTCTTTGCATATATCAGATTGAAAATAAAGGTTTATTTTGATTCGTATTATCCCATTCTTTAACATGTAAAAAAGTAATATAAATGGAAATTTTTAGCATTATCGAAAATTCCTTTCGTCGAATTTGCATAATCTTCCCATTTTATTTACGTCAATAAAGAACATCCTTCGTCGTTTCCTAGTTTAAAATCAATTTATAAATGACTACCGGAGAGGTTTGTTTACATTATTTTAATGCTTTTTTTACTTTAATAATCTATAAAACAAAGTAGATATTCATTTATTTAGTTATTTTGGTTAGAAACTATTATATAATAGCAGTAAGTCTTCTTGAATAATTGTCAGACGTTAAATTTAGAAACGGGTGATTTTTTTTTCTTTCACTCACTTCGGGTTTAAAATCTGTTTACAGGATTTTACGGATTTCAATTCTTATACGTGTTAATCTACAATGAATAATCAAGTTTTACAAACACCTACGCCCATGTTATATACATAACTTTACTGAATTTCCCTAGATTTCGTTGCATAACCGCTGTCAACAGCGTGAAAAGGTGATAAATTAATTTATTAAACAATTACAGCATCATAAATGTTAAAGATTTATTTTTAGTGTGTTCGAGCTATTTGAAAAAACGTTAAATTTAAGTTAAATTTTTGTTTAAAAATCGTTTTTTTTTTTTACCAGATAAACTTCTTACTTTGGAGGGGGCAAAACTCAAAAGGGACAAATTCCAATACGTTAAAAAGGTACAGTAAACGTCTATTTTTAACATTACAAGGAGACAACTCGAAGCTATCTATTGTCATCATTACTACATTTTTTTTTTTCTAACTTATAACATTCTTTTAAATATAAAAAGATCCTTAATTATTTATTTTATTTTAAAAATATTACAATTAATATATTCTATTTTAAATAAATAAACACTATAAGCTATAAAAGATTATATAATAAGGTAACGTGGGAATTTCATTGTTCGTAAGAGGAAATGTATTTTCTTAAAAACTTATTTTATTTTTTAATATTAAGGAATTTATTGATATTAAAACTATATTTTGTTTTATAACTTCCTTAAAAAATTAAAGAGGAATTTGTAACATTTTTTTTTCCTTATCTATGAAGAGGAGAAAAAAACAGTAATTAAAAGCTCGAAAGAAGTAGGAACAATTGCGCTAATTATAGCAACAATGCGGCATAGAAAACAAAAATCGAGCAGTCTAAATGATAAAATAAAAATCCAAGGGAAATCTGGACGTTCTATTTTAAAATTCGCATTCTTGTACAAAGTGCAGAATCGCGTCGAAAGGTATGACTCTACAATTTTTGTTTTCTAACAATAGATGTATCTATGGGAATGTTGTCAAAGTAAATTTATGACGTGTTTTACTATAAAATTAATGACTGCAAGCTTCCGATCTGTATATATTTCTATATACACACGTGAAAAAAAAATAACTAATGGTTTATTTTATGGCATCAGTGTCAAGGATAAATCGTCTGATAATCGGTATATTCCGAACATCATCTTCTGTTAGATAACTTACAAAATGGTAACGTTACTATAGAAGCATTTTACTTCGTGCCTCTATAGCAACAAGTTATTTTAAAGCTTAATATAGAAGGGAACGATTCTGTAAAATTAATAAAGGATTAAATTTATTGCTTGTATGAATTATATTTGTAACATCCTGTTAGTTTTTATATGGTGTTACCATTCGAATGTTTCCCGTCTGCTACTAACTAGACTTAGATGCAAATTCTGATCCACATCCAAACTCGTCTCCAGATCAAATAGCAAGGAAGCTCAGGAATAGATGTACTAGTCACAGCTGCTTAAGGCAACAAAGAGTGTGTCGATGCAATCGGAAGAGGGAAAAATGATGTCGTCATAAGTCGAGATCAAATTCCAACTACTTCGAAGAGAATGGCATCGTTTACCATAATTTTCCAATCTGTTTTTTTACGAGATTTACGCAAAAAAAATAAAGTATTTAAGCAAACAAATTATAAAGCAGTTCGTTTCTAAGACGTAACTTTAGCTTAAGAGGTTTAAAAGTATATATATATTCTCTTCCTAATTGCATAATGGAAAAATGATAATTTCAGCAAAGAATGACACCAGTTTAAGGAAGACGGCGTGAAATATTAGTAAATTTACTTGCAAAATTGGTAACTTTAAATAAAACTATTTTTAAAAAAATCCACTTAAAACGTAACAAAAATCTTCAGAGTATTAAAAATATTTCTATTGCGAAAGGAAGCGTAATGCATCGAGTAATAATTTCTGTTCAACGACCGAAAAATTCGATAAAATTTAATATAAAAACGTAATAAAAATTAATCGACTAAAGCATTATAATTTACAAGTAAAATTGAACTTAGAAAGAGCATTTAACCTTATAAAAGATAGTAATAATACAAGTTATAACTATACGAAAGACTACGTAAGTTAATCAAGGTTACTCTAGTTGATAATCTACATTGAATAGAATCACTGCTGAAAAAATTTATAAAATATATTTTTAGAATAAAGGAACGTTGCAGGGATAGGAAGAGAACTTAGAGAGAAATTGCAACGTGCAGTACAGAAACGTAACATCAGCGTATAATACTCACCCCATTAATTAAATACAACACCTATACAAGAGCGCATTTTACGATGTAAATCGTAACACACGCTTCCCTTTTCCGACCCGTAACGATGTAATTATTTGTTATAAAAAGGGATAATCAGGAAGCCGATAATTGAATGAAGATGATGATGACGATGATGAATTTTTTTTTTTTGTTTTTTGTATATTTTTTGTATTTACTTACCCGCTATCCAGCAGGTGATCAGGAAGGTGGTTATTAACGCTTCTTTCCAATGCATTCAATTCCTAAATGGGATTTTTCTTATGTCGATGCTGTTAAATTCCTGCAGTGACACATAGAAAGTCTATCATCTAAATGTGTCTACCCATTTATATGACTTACAAAGTTTTCGTCACGTCGTCCGATAATTCTTATTGGTCGAGCGGTTTCGCTTTTATACTGACGTCATTACTGTTTCTCTTGGAAATTTGCTTCTTGCCAAACAACGTTAACTTTTGTCTTTTCTACGACGAGAAATTTTAATTTTATTTTATAAATTAANAACAATTTTCTTGTAAGAATTTTAATAAGGCAGATAATCGTCTCTTACAATGGTTAACTGACTTTAGAACCACCCTGTGTTTTTTACACTAAATATATATATATAAGATATAATCTATTCTTAATTTAAATATTTGACCTGAAAATTAACGAATGAAAGTATATTTATCTATCAGAATTCTTAATGAGCTTTCACCAATATAAGGAAAAATTTATCATTATGTAAGTCTCCTTCTGAATATATATTTTAAACATTTTTAAAAAAAAATAACAAATTAATAATTATAAATAATACAGGGTGGTCCAAAAGTCAGTTAACCGTTCAGCTAACAATTCAGTATTTTCTGCAGTTTGTATGTAATAAATTTAGCTACACAAGATAGAAATTCAGCCCTCGCAATGGACAACTGACTTTTAGGCCACCTGTATTTTCTATATTCTATATATAGCCTACATATTTCAAAAAAGTATTTATTTTTTAAATTATTATATTACAAATATTTCTACAAGTTTAGCATTTTTTCCATTATTTTGACATCTTTATTCACTGTAAAAGATTATGATAATTTAATGGAAAATAGCATTTTTCAGTTTACAGAGTGAAAAATTATGATAATAAAATTCTATTGGTGGATTTTGAAAATTTATAACGTTTATCTCTCTCTTGAAAAATACAAAACTGGATAGAGAATTGTTCTATGCGTTATGGCATACAAATTTAAGTACAGTATATTTATATTATGGTTATTTGTATGCAGTTTTTATTTATTATAGTAATTTTATACTTTAATGAGACTATATTTAAATAAGGATGCGTTATAAATTACACATAAAATTGTGTTGAGCTTTTATCAAATAATTTACTACTAATTTTACAGGGGGATCATATTTCATTAAATCAAGGATGATATACAGGATTTAATTATGATTAATAAATTAAATTCAATATTTTAAATGATTATAAAATTTATTTAACCTAAAATATATAAAAATATATATTTATTTTAATTCTTTATGAATATTGTCTGTAATATTTTGAATTCTAGAACATTTCTTTCTAGAATTTAATTGTATTTCAGACAAATAATCTGTAAGTTTTACAATTCTAGAATTTTATATCATTTATATTTCTTGTAGATTATTTATATATCCAGTTCTTTAAGAAAAATCTATAACTTTTTAAATTTTAGAATTTTATTCTAGAGTTTTGGTGGTTTTTATTAAGTTTTTGAATTCTGGAATATGTTTTTAAAAATTTTATTGTTTTTTTTAGGGTTATATCTATTCAATTCTGTGTGCCAATATGTATTTTTTAGTCTAGAACATTTATTCTAGAATCTTAATCGTTTTTATAGAAGTTTGATCATTTGATCGATCCTTGATCGTAAATCTAGAACTTTTTCTAGAATTTTGATCGTTTTCTAGATAAAATAATCCATCAGCTTTCCAAAATTTACAATTTGTAATTGTAACAAAGTACTGTAGAATGAATAAATGCATTTAATGAGATTCAAAGAAAAAATTTTAATTTATTATTATTGTTTTTTTTTTTTAAATTAAAAAATACTGAAATATTAGAATAGACGAAATAAAATTATTTTTGAATTTTGAATTTAAAATAATAATAATTTATCCTGATATTTGATTCAAATGTTATTACTAACTTCTATGAATCATATATTTATAATAATAATAGAAAAGTTCATTAAACTTTTAATGTATATTATGAATATT